ATTACTAATGTTACATGTCCACTCCTAACAATGAGTGAGTATTGTTTTAGACCCCTTTCAGAAATATTCCAGCAATATCATGGCGGGTGACACTAGAAATGGGTTTTTACACATTGTACCCAAGTGGAGTATCAACCGGGCCTTCAAAGTTACGAGTGAACGCTTTAACCACTAGGCTACCTCTTCGCCCTCATTCTTTTTTAGGTATCGATATAACCACAATGTCATAATAAACTTCTTTTCCACATTTTTGCATTCGTATCAGAAAACCAATGAAGTCTTTTGTAATGCAATAATATGACACAGTTCATGCGTGTCAATTTATGATCTATACATTGTAGCAACCTAAAGACATAAAATGAAGTGGGGCGGTCGGGTAGCCTAGTGGTTAAAGCGTTCGCTCGTCACGCCGAAGACCCGGGTTCGATTCCCGACATGGGTACAATGTGTGAAGCCCATTTCTGGTGTCCCCCGCCGTGATATTGCTGGAATACTGCTAAAAGCGGCGTAAAACCATAGTCACTCACTCATAAAATGAAGTATACCATAAAATCACCTCTCCTTATCCATTCCTCATACCCGTTTGGAAGACCAGGCGGTGCGAAAAGAAATCATTTCATTGGCTGACTTTTCCGAAAGACATTTCATTGGCTGCATTTGTTAACATTACGCTTGACAAAATCTTGTAGCATCACTTTCCTTCATGTAATAATTGTGGAAACAGCTCCTCAGAAGACGCCTCAGCATCACTTTCCTTCATGTAATAATTGTGGAAACAGCTCCTCAGAAGACGCCTCAGAAGGTATGGTTTTTCGTTAACATGGGATTCGAACAGTTGAATTATTTTAGCATGATGGTTCAAAAGAATACGAAAACGAGTGTGATATCACCCAGTTTGTTACAGTAAATCATGCGTCACCCTATTCATATTCATGTTACTCACCTGGTCCTGCGAGTTTGTCCCCTATCCAAATGAGTTAATGCCTTGCACAGGAGACCGCAGAAGAAACATACAATATTGATTGCGGATAATATAATGTAATACCGACAAGAAAAATTAACGGAATTAATCAAATGATGGTGAAAGTGTAACAATGATGCAGGACTGTAAAAATAATTTCGGGCATGAAAATCAGTCCCTGGTCTGTCCACCATATTGTTTGTTTGTTTAACGTCGCACTCGGCAATATTCCAGCTATATGACGGCGGGACCACCATATTGAGATACATGTACATAACTTGATGGCATACTGTTTAAATTGCCTTTTGTTGCCTTTTGTACTGTCGGGGGCACGGGTGGCCCAGTCGTCTAAGGCGCCGCGATTCGCTGTGCAGAGTTGCGTCCCTTGGGCACGCCAGAAACCTATGATTGTGGGTTCGAATCCCGGTTCGAATCCCGGTTCGCCCCGATTATGTTTCTAGGTTTGTCAGCACCATACCCGTGCTCGTGGGTTTCACCGAAGTGGTAAACGTCTGAGACCTGCATCACTTCGGGCTTTCCTCCCACATTAAGCTGACACGCCGTGATATAACTGGAATACTGTTAAAAGCGGCGTAAAACCCAACTCACTCACTCACTTTTGTACTGCCCGCCAAGTTGGCAGGTACTGGTTCTCTGGTGTACAATTCGACCCAAGACCATTCCACAGACGCTTTATTCCGACATGTCAAGGTACATGGTGCCAACATGGCATTGTCGCCTTCCTCTTCATTGTACGGAATTCTTTATTCCTAATGGGTGGGTTGGTTGGTTGTTTTTTTTTGTTTAACGCCGCACTCGGCAATATTCCCGCTCTATGACTGCTGTCTGTAAATAATCGAGTCTGGACCAGACAATCCAGTGATTGATATCATGAGCATCGATGCACGCAATTGGGATTAATGACATGCACAAACCAAGTCAGCGAGCCTGACCAGCCGATCCCGTTAGTCGCCTCTTACACCAAGCATACTCGCCTTTAACAAGCAAGGGTTTATTTCTAATGGGAGCAGATTTAAATCTATTGTAGTGCAATCAATGTGATAGGACTATCTTACCAAGTTGTCGTTTTTTAGACCTAGCACGCCCAGGTATCAATGCAACCCCACGCGTTTGACGATACTTGTGCCACAATCGAAAAATACACATCTTGATTTGCGAATCACACGAGCACGAGCACACGCACACCTTCCTCCCCCATCGTACCCACAATTAGTTATTTTATCTGTTCATTCAGATACGGGGCGGTCGGGTAGCCTAGTGGTTAAAGCGTTCGCTCATCACGCCGAAAACCCGGGGTCGATTCCCGACATGGGTACAATGTGTGAAGCCCATTTCTGGTGTCCCCCGCCGTGATATTGCTGGAATATTGCTAAAAGCGGCGTAAAACCATACTCACTCACTCATTCAGATACTGTCTCGTAGGCAATTGTAAGTGTGCTTAGCTCAATTGCATAAGTTGAGTGGTCGCTAGATCTCTGAAGTTATGCCGATGCAACGTTAAATGTTAGCATTGATGATTGTGAATTCTGCTGTTGGCACACACTTTTCTATCTATGTGCACGTGCTGTTCATGCATGATATGACGTTTCATTCTGATCAGCTTTTGTGTTAAGTGAGTGAGTGAGTTGGGTTTAACGCCGCTTTTAACAGTATTCCAGTTATATCGTGGCATGTCATCTTAATGTGGGAGGAAAGCCCGAAGTGATGCAGGTCTCAGACGTTTACCACTTCGGTGAAACCCACGAGCACGGTGCTGACAAACCTAGAAACATAATCGGGGCGAACCGGGATTCGAACCCACAATCATAGGTTTCTGGCGTGCCAAAGGGACGCAACCCTGCACAGCGAATCGCGGCGCCTTAGACGACTGGGCCACCTGTGCCCCTTTTTTGTGTTAAGATGCCAAGCCACTGTTTTATAAATGTACACCGCAACTATAGCTTGATTAATATAATTTGTTCTCTTAATCTTTGTCGGTAGTAGGATAAAAGACCAACATGTACAGGTGCTTGTTCGTGGTTTTCTCCCATTTGCGTCGTTATGTCACTGACAGTTATTTTTTATTCTTCCATAGTGCATTTCCAATGAACTACTTCTGTTATCGATTTTATCGATTCTATACAGGAAACCACAAAAACATACATGTCTGGCACCTTAAGACATGGGAAGACATCATTTTATGCATTCAACAAATTACAATTTTGGTTGAAAATGTAAACACTTAGAGTTGAGATAGTCCGCGGACTATAATCTGAGACTCTCCCTTGTATTTACAGTTTCAACCCAATGTGAGAAGTCCAAATTATAAACAGTCTTAATGCAAAAAATAGCAGAAAGAATTATTATTTTTAAAACACTTCAGGATAGCTTATAGTGAAACAATAGCATATTCGCTTCATAAAAAGAATTCTGTGACGTCGGGCGACTGAAAAGGGTTCCTTGAAATCTAACCCGGATCTTCACGGGTTAGACTCGAACCATGTCGTGAAATTTCATATGAAAATGAGTGACTTTTAACAAGGCAAAAATAAATAGATACAGACATAGTGAGCGAGTAAGGTTTTACGCCGCTTTTAGCAATATTCCAGCAATATCACGGCGGGGGACACTTCACACATTGTACCCATGTCGGGAATCGAACCCGGGTCTTCGGCGTGACGAGCGAACGCTTTAACCAATAGGCTACCCTATTTAATCAAGCTATAGTTGCGGTGTACATTTATAAAACAGTGGCTTGGCATCTTAACACAAAAAAGGGGCACGGGTGGCCCAGTCGTCTAAGGCGCCGCGATTCGCTGTGCAGGGTTGCGTCCCTTGGGCACGCCAGAAACCTATGATTGTGGGTTCGAATCCCGGTTCGCCCCGATTATGTTTCTAGGTTTGTCAGCACCATACCCGTGCTCGTGGGTTTCACCGAAGTGGTAAACGTCTGAGACCTGCATCACTTCGGGCTTTCCTCCCATATGAAGCTGTGATATAACCGTGATATAACTGGAATATTGTTAAAAGCGGCGTTAAACCAAACTCACTCCCTCACTCATTTCCCCCATGGTTTTATTCATGTTTAAATCTGCAGTGATCTGGTTGTAGAGACACATGTCACGTAGATGCCAAATCAATAAATAAAACTTTGTCAACATCTACAACCACATGAGAATTCGAAGGAAATGGTATAAAATGTTCTGAAAACTTCAACAATAAATTGTCTTGCTCTCACTTTGATATCTTTATTCAGTATCTGTATCGGAAATTGTATTTTTTCTTCTTCTAAATGTTAGCTCATTCTTATGTTATAACCAAGCTTCGAAAAAAAACTAATACTCTGCAGATGTACCATTCTATTTTCCTGAAATTAATTACCTTTATCATTATCTACCCTTATTAATATTGTATTGGTTGTGATCTGTAAATTAATACACCTTAGCTATACGTATAATCAGTGTATTTACTGTCTTACTGTTCATATTTCTTTGTTAAATATACAAAATATATATTAGACACCAAGTCGGCGACAAATCACAACGGAAACTTCAAAATTCAAATTACACTTCCAGTTATGTTACATTCTTTATACAGTTGCAATTTTCTTTTAAAACAATTGACATTAATTGAAACTTATTGATTATATAGACATACTGATGAAAATGAGTTTTCCTATTTGCATTCTTAAGTTTCAAGGGCGACACGGGTGGCAAAGTCGTCTGAGGCGCCGCAATTCGCTATGCAGAGTTGCGTCCCTTGGGCACGCCAGAAACTTATGATTGTGGGTTGGAATCCCGGTTCACCCCGACTGTTTCTAGGTTTGTCAGCGCCATCCCCGTGCCCGTGGGTTTCATCGAAGTGGTAAACGTTTCAGATCTCCATCACTTCGGGCTTTCCTCCCACATAAACTGACACGCCGTGATATAACTGAAATATGTATTGTTAAAAGCGGCATTACACCCAACATAATCGCTCAAACGTAATACTCTACGATCAAAAGAAATTAAATTTGTTATTGTAATTGTTACATCCCCAGCAAGGACAAAATGTCCATTTTTTCCTTGTAACCTCTCCGAAGAAGAAAAATGGGCGCTTCGGTAACTACCAAGATGCGGATGTTGTCGTCAGGGAAACGCCTGGACGAATCTCCAGGGTCCTCATGTCGGACGACTTCAAAAACATCCCGAGCGCTGGAACGTTCAACATGGCAACAGATGCCACTGTTGCCGATGACGGGACAGTAAGGTTTTCTAGGAAGACGCAAGTAAGTAAATTGTTTGTGACAATGTTAAAGGAAGATTATCAATTCTCATTAAACTTCTATCACACACAATATACAAAGCTACTCATAGATTGGAATAAGCGACAATGCCTTTCCATATTCATGGCAAATATCTGCCAAATTCAGTCCATTGTCAAATTGTCATGTATTGTGCTAAGATCTGCTAAGCAGTGTTTGTTTCTTTACAAAAATGCACGCAACTGATTCTATATCTCATAACAATTTATATCTTAAACATTTCTTTGTTTCATAGAATATTGCTGAAACATGACAACAGTCTGTATATAAGGCGATGTGAACTAGATATTCCACTGATTGGCATCATAATTATCACTGGTGGCTACCGATTAAAGTGAATTATTGTAATACACAACCTGGCATGTTGCCATTTTAGTACCCGTACATGTAATCAGAAAGTCTTAATAAGTTTCATACAGATGTTCTTACGCAGTGTTTTTCGAACTAACTTTATTTTCACAAAGCTTGGCTATACATAGGCAATTTCACGTGCCGCACGATTTACATGAACTATAAAATCCGCGAAGCACTCAGCGTTCGCACGAATGCTCCCAGTTAACTCCCAGTGGTATTCCCAGCGAACATTTCATGTTCCTGGCTATAGTTCTCCAGAACAGATGTCATTTCAAATATACATAACAGAAAACAAAACCTCATTTGACCGCTGATGCCATCAACTCGCATCACAAATTCCGGTAAAAGATAGATTTATTCCCACTTTTCTATTGAATTTACAATTTCCTGACATAATCCAAAACATACTGATTTAGAAAAGATATTGGGTGAAAGTAGAAATTCTTACATCTAGAGGACACATCATGATCATACTATTGAATTCAAAGACATTGAAGCTGGCCTAAATACCCCAGGATATCAAACAAACATTGCATCTTAGGTTTGCTCATTTTTTATACAATAAGACAGGGTTTTATAGGATGAAAGTTTATATACAATAGGATAGTTCAATACTTTGCATCCTCTAAAATCCTATCTGTCGTACATTGGTGTCCGATGTTTTCACTCGTGTGTGTGTGTGTGTGTGTGTGTGTGTGTATATATATATATATATATATATATATATATATATATATATATATATATATAATCATATAATATATATTATATATATATATATATTATATATATATATCATATACTATAATTATACACTCATAATTGCAAATTTTATCAAGCCGAAAATTCAAATACGATGTAAAGGTGGTTACCACCTTCCTCGAACCACCGATAATGACAGTCTCCGAGTGCAAGTCCGAGCCAGTTGGCCCTCGGATGACCGCAAGAGCAAGAGTCATCCAGGTCTGTCCGATTACAAAATAATTAACATATTTCTTGCTCCTGTATCCTAATGTACAATTGCTATTCCTAGAAGCAAACATACCCCCATCGTCAACAAATCAATTACCCCCGCGAAAGTAAAGAAAATAACACCGCGGCTATGATCATGTTTCTGAAAGACTGCATTTTAATCTAAGATTATGTTCCTTTGAAGGTAATTCCTCAAAGGGAGTCAACATTGAAAACGGTTATCCTTGGACAGGATGATGATCAAATACAGCTAAAACTGTGGAGGGGCGCAAGCGAGCTTGCAACTCCTCCGGGGTCTTTGATACTCCTAAACCACGAGGTCATTGGCAAGTTTAGGGGTATCAAAGACCTAAATTCAACCGATGAGACAACAATCCAGGTTTGTTTACATATTGAACAACTGATTGCTTTAAAGACAAAGTCAACGCCATCTCATGAAAACACTACAAAGAAGTCTCGTACATAAAACAATTTTTCAAAAGTTTCTTTGAAATACTTTTGGAACAGACATAACATAATTGCAAGTTAAAACACAATTTAAAAAAAATGAAAATACTGACGCACCGTGTTCATTGTAGATTCAACCCGAAGAGGTAACGACCGTTTGCGGTGAAATTGAGGCCATGGGCTTCGAGGAGTAAGTATACCTGAAAGTGTCATGACATGATACCCATGCTTCACATAACATTTATACCGCCGTCGTATAGCTGGAATATTGCTGAGTGCGGCGTTAAACAACAAACCAACCATAACATTTATGTGTGAATGCTATCGCATTCATACGTCATTATGTGAATATTTGATATAACAAGCGGACCTTGTACATGTTCAATTTGCAAGTTACCGACGAAATGCATGTAAGTAAACAGCTTGGTACACAATCCATTCATGGGTGAATAATGTAATTTAAATCGGATCGACATACGTTTCTGTCAAAGCTGTACTACATTTACATATGTTCTCAAACCACAAGTTATGCCTATAATCCGAAAGTACTTGTCACATTATTTCTGCACACTTGCAAAATATCCCTTGCCTGCATTTTCCCAAAAATAAAAGTGATCCTGTTCAACTGAAAGTGCAAACTACTCAAAATTAAAATTACTACCACATTAAAGGTTATACGTCAAGCTGTGTGCATATTTTGATATAGCTCAATACAATATTATGTGAAGACATGTTTCATGAGCAAAAGTTCATTGTCGTGCGCCACATAATACTAACATGACCAGTAACAAGATTACCGTCCAAAAGAGATTATCTGACCAAAACTGAAACTTCAAACATGAAAACAATTCGTTGTCCCCAGCACTCCGTGGTGCTTATGTGATCCACGTGAAGCACTCACAATCCTGGCACCATCGTCTCTTGCTCTCAACAGGTTGCTCAGGGAAAATTGTTCCACTCTTTAGTAATGGCATAGCCATGTTCCTGTAGAGTTGTCAGAGTGAGTGAGCGAGTGAGTTATGATTTTACATTGCATCGGCAATATTGCAGCCATATCGCGATGAGAACAAGTTCATTATTATCAAAATACCTGTCGACAAAGGACAGTAAAACAGTAAGGTAATTATCACAGTGTAGACATAAAACTTACCTGAGCAATATTAAAACAAAGAAGTTTTCAGTGTATTAGTTATTAGAAAGTAAAACCAGGCTATAGACCACTGGTAACCAAAGCTAGACCACCTAACTGGGGATCATGGGGACTTACAGTACTTTTGCTTCCTGCATGATTCCGAGCAGGATTTATGTCATCACTTTGGTCACGAGTGGTTGTATGAAATATTAACCAATATTAAAAAATCAAAACACAATGAAGGAATTAAAACACTAGTTGATATTAATTACTTCAATATAGATGGAATTATGTGCCACAGTCAGGGGGACAATAATTTTACACTACTTGTAGAGTTGTCAGAAGGACAGGGTGTCATGAGGGGGTCATCTCCAAACCGCGTTCCACATGTGTTCAATAGGGTTGGAAGTCTGGTGACCTCTGTCCGTTGATGGTCCTATGGGGGTTATCCAATCATTTTGTACCGATATATCGCAATCTCTATTTGTTGAAAGAATGTGTTTTGATATTAAACTTGATCCTCAGCAAGCTTTGAATATATGTATAAATAAGGCTTTTGAAATTTCTTTTGAATTTTACTGCATCAGACATGTCTCTTCCTTAAACCACTGCACTGTGGGTTTATATCCTCAACTCAGAAATGATATTTCACCATCGCCAGATACCATTATGTCTTCCCTGATTACACCAGAAATGCGTACTGCTTTGTTGTCATGTTTACACTAACTTCAACAACGTTATTATGAACATAGTTGAACACATCAATGTATTTCTGTCACATATTCTGAACCGGTGTCACTTTAATAAATGGGGTATCTGGATAAATTTGGAAAAAAAGGTGAAGATAAAACTCATCTTTTCCAAAGTATTACAAATACTTTACTTGTTCATTCATATTTACAAAACCAATAAATCTTTATCAAATTATTACAGCATCTGAATACAGACAACGCAATGGTATTATTGAACGGGAAAACGTACCGGGGCAGTGCCGAAGTCATCGGCAAGGCATTTCCAAATAAAGACATGCCGGATGGGATGTTCCATCTGGAAATTAAGGGGGGGGGGGGGGGGGGGGGGGGGGGGGGGGAGAATACTTTCAATGTAAGTATAATATTCGCATTTCGAATGATTTTTATGAAATATTGCAAGTAACTAGAAAGATGAAACACATATCTAAATGTTGTGCTATAGCCTAAATAATAATCCGAACTGTTACGCATTAAAAAAATGTTGAAATATGATTGTATCATCCAACATGTAAAAATCCTAATCCTACATCAAGATTATCAAAATTGAAATGTCATTCACAACTAGTAACAGGATGTTATAGTGAGGCAATATTTATTTCAGTGTTGAAGGTCTGCCGGGCGAGGGCGAGGGCGAGGGCGAGGGCGAGGGTCTGCCGGGGGGTGCGGGCGAGGGCGAGGGTCTGCCGAGGGGTGCGGGCGGGGGCGAGGGTCTGTCGGCGGGCGAGGGCGAGGGTCTGCCGGGGAGCGAGGGCGAGGGTCTGCCAGGGAGCGAGGGCGAGGGTCTGCCGGGGAGCGAGGGCGAAGGTCTGCCGGGGAGCGAGGGCGAAGGTCTGCCGGGGAGCGAGGGCGAGGGTCTGCCAAGGGACGACCTCGAGGGTCTGCCGGGGAGCGAGGGCGAGGGTCTGCCAAGGAGCGAGGGCGAGGGTCTGCCAAGGGACGACCTCGAGGGTCTGCCGGGGAGCGAGGGCGAGGGTCTGCCAAGGGACGACCTCGAGGGTCTGCCGGGGAGCGAGGGCGAGGGTCTGCCAGGGAGCGAGGGCGAGGGTCTGCCAAGGGACGACCTCGAGGGTCTGCCAAGGGACGACCTCGAGGGTCTGCCAGGGAGCGAGGGCGAGGGTCTGCCAAGGGACGACCTCGAGGGTCTGCCGGGGAGCGAGGGCGAGGGTCTGCCAAGGGACGACCTCGAGGGTCTGCCGGGGAGCGAGGGCGAAGGTCTGCCAAGGAGCGAGGGCGAAGGTCTGCCGGGGAGCGAGGGCGAGGGTCTGCCAAGGAGCGAGGGCGAAGGTCTGCCGGGGAGCGAGGGCGAAGGTCTGCCAAGGGACGACCTCGAGGGTCTGCCGGGGAGCGAGGGCGAAGGTCTGCCGGGGAGCGAGGGCGAGGGTCTGCCAAGGGACGACCTCGAGGGTCTGCCGGGGAGCGAGGGCGAAGGTCTGCCGGGGAGCGAGGGCGAGGGTCTGCCAAGGGACGACCTCGAGGGTCTGCCGGGGAGCGAGGGCGAAGGTCTGCCGGGGAGCGAGGGCGAGGGTCTGCCAAGGGACGACCTCGAGGGTCTGCCGGGGAGCGAGGGCGAAGGTCTGCCGGGGAGCGAGGGCGAGGGTCTGCCAAGGGACGACCTCGAGGGTCTGCCAAGGAGCGAGGGCGAAGGTCTGCCAGGGAGCGAGGGCGAGGGTCTGCCAAGGGACGACCTCGAGGGTCTGCCAGGGAGCGAGGGCGAGGGTCTGCCAGGGAGCGACGGCGAGGGTCTGCCGGGGAGCGAGGGCGAGGGTCTGCCAGGGAGCGAGGGCGAGGGTCTGCCAGGGAGCGACGGCGAGGGTCTGCCAGGGAGCGAGGGCGAGGGTCTGCCAAGGGATGACGGCGAGGGTGCCCGGAGACGACGAGCCTCGGCCCGAAAACGAGGGGACGATTCTGTAAAGAGGCGACGATCCGGACCCGAAATAAAAAAAAATTACTGTATTCTCAACTGTTTTTCAATTTGTTTATATGGCTGAGCTGTGCGATTGAAATGACCTTACAGCATGAACTTCCTGCAAGAGATAAACCTGACGTAATACGTCTTTACCACTTGTCTTCAACCCACGGCAAATGTCACTTGAGGTAACCAAGTCGAATATGGATGCAAATATTTCTCATGCGTCTAAGGAACCGACCGCTTGATATTGAGACGGGGGAAGTGGGGACTGGGGGCTATGATTTTGTAGCGAGATTTCTTTCAACTACAAAACTATTTTTATTTGAAACTAAGGATGTATTTTCTAAAGAACATGTTGCAACAATGACATTTGAGGCAGGCAATATCATTTTTCTTTTCAACAGTCTGAAGCATTGTTTTTCGAGATATTTTAGAACAATTTCGTTTCCCCCCGCACCGCCTTCGCCCATCAAAATATCAAATGGTCAGTCCGCGCGACAACTCGGCATACCGACAGTTGCGTGGTTTATTTCACGATGAAACATTGTTCATCGTGACGTCATTTCTGGAGATTCGCAACCACACGACCTCGTATATTGAAGTGTTTTAGAGGGGTTGTCTTGCCGAGTTCGGATGTGTTGCATATTGTACATAATATTGATATCTCATAAGAAAGAAACGACTCGTGACCTTTCTTAATGATACAATAAAACGCTGCAGGGAGAGGGAACCACTGGGGGCTGCGCCCTTCAAGGATTATTCGCAAGACAGTGTTTATCTTAACGCCCGCTCGTCTATTTCTAAATGACATCACTCTTTCACATCTATAGCATGTCACCCATCACTCTTTCACATCTATAGCATGTCACCCATCACTCTTTCACATCTGTAGCATGTCACCCATCACTCTTTCACATCTATAGCATGTCACCCATCACTCTTTCACATCTATAGCATGTCACCCATCACATCTTCCCCTCTACAGAATGTCGTCGATCCCACCTTGCCCTCTATAGCATGTCGCCCATTACATCTTCCCCTCTATAGAATGTCGCCCATCACATCTTCCCCTCAAAAGCATGTCGCCCATCACATCTTCCCCTCTATAGCATGTCGCCCATTACATCTTCCCATCTTAGCATGTCGCCCATCACACCTTCACCTCTCAAGCATCTCGCCTATCACACCTTCCCGTCTATAGCATGTCGCCCCTCACATCTTCCCCTGTATAGCATGTCGCCCATCACACCTTCCAAACTATAGCATGTCGCCCGTCACACCTTCCAAACTATAGCATGTCGCCCCTCACATCTTCCCCTCTATAGCATGTCGCCCGTCACACTTTCCAAACTAAAGCATGTCGCTCATCTCATCTTCCAAACGATAGCATGTCGCCCCTCACACCTTCCCCTCTATAGCACGTCGCCCGTCACACCTTCCCCTCTGTAGCATGTCGCCCCTCACATCTTCCCCTGTATAGCATGTCGCCTATCACACCTTCCAAACTAAAGCATGTCGCCCATCTCATCTTCCAAACGATACCATGTCGCCCATCACACCTTCCAAACTATGGCATGTCGCCCGTCACACCTTCCAAACTGTAGCATGTCGCCCCTCACATCTTCCACTCTATAGCATGTCGCCCGTCACACCTTCCAAACTAAAGCATGTCACCCCTCACATCTTCCCCTCTATAGCATGTCGCCCGTCACACCTTCCAAACTAAAGCATGTCGCCCCTCACATCTTCCCCTCTATAGCATGTCGCCCGTCACACCTTCCAAACTAAAGCATGTCGCCCCTCACATCTTCCCCTCTATAGCATGTCGCCCCTCACACCTTCCAAACTAAAGCATGTCACCCCTCACATCTTCCCCTCTATAGCATGTCGCCCGTCACACCTTCCAAACTAAAGCATGTCACCCCTCACATCTTCCCCTCTATAGCATGTCGCCCGTCACACCTTCCAAACTAAAGCATGTCGCCCCTCACACCTTCCAAACTAAAGCATGTCGCCCCTCACATCTTCCCCTCTATAGCATGTCGCCCCTCACACCTTCCAAACTAAAGCATGTCGCTCATCTCATCTTCCAAACGTCGTCTATTTCTAAATGACATCTAGATCTGCTGACATTACATATATCAACAGACCTATTTCAAATATTTAATAGGTTTGACTTCAGTTGATAATAAGCTTGTCTGGCATCTTAGATTCATTTTTGCAGTACAATCGCACCAAAGTCACTCAAAGAGGTGACGTTAAATTATGTACCAATTCCTTCCAAACAGCACAAATAACATAAATAATTGCACATTAAGTGACAGTAAATGCAGCCTTCAATATTTTCATTATCGCTTTATGACAAGTCTCTCAGTGACTTGGGTAGGATGATTCAAAACAAAATCCGAAATGTTAATTTTTATCGGTTCTCTAAAACTAACCTTAAAATGACCAATTTTGACATACGGCATCCGATACCTTTCAATTTCGCCTCAACATCACATGATCATAAGGGCATGTTTTCTCATTACTCTTCTGACAAAAAATATTGCCAACATATGTTTCAAAATTCAAAACCTGTTGGATAACGAACTGCCACCACAGAACATGTAATAACAATACAATCAAAAGCACGACCTTGGACACTGTGTTCCGGGGATGTCCGGGCGGTCGGGTAGCCTAGTGGTTAAAGCGTTGGCTCGTCACGCCGGAGACCCGGGTTCGATTCCCGACATGGGTACAATGTGTGAAGCCCATTTGTGGTGTCCCCCGCCGTAATATTGCTGGAATATTGCTAAAAGCGGCGTAAAACCTCACTCACTCACTCACTCACTCACTCACTCACTCCGGGGATGTCCAAATTTGGTAGTGGCGATGACATGCAAACGGTGACTGTTTTAACAGCTTTGGTACAAGCACTTCCTTTGTGAATTCGAACATGTTCGAGGTCAAAAATGGGTTTAGAACACCCTGGGACACCCCCGGAACACGCCAATTTCGTAGCGGAGTTATGCCACAAGCGGCTACTCACTTTTGATTACATTGGTACGAACAAACCATGTCAGGATTCGAATATGAACGATGACTGAAATGGTTTACGAACACCCAAGGATGCTCCGGCACCCAATATTTTTTTTTCAAAACGGACCAATGAAAGATCAAATTATTAATTACATAAAATATTTAGAAGTGGATTCAAGTAGGCTCGAACTAAATGACTCGGTGGTATGAAAAATCATAGAGCCCGACATCGCTGCCCGCAGCTTTAATTATTATTATTATTATTATGATCATTAGGTAAAAAGGGGGTATTAGACAGTCTCACATACACTGACGTTCTTGATTAGTAGCTGACACCGTGAGCTCCAGGCGCTGAGTGTTGTCATGCGAACACAGCCCTGTGCATTTCTACTTGTGCAGAGATGAATTATTGTCAATCTTACACTATTGTATATTAATGTCTTCAATCCATAGTCATCTACCGTGAGATATCATGCATCAAGCTAATACTTGTCGGGGTTGGAAAGATTCAGGGATACTGACCACCTTATCTGAAGCAGATAACATGACCCGTCTACCACCTTTACCATCAGTGCATGTCAAGCATCACTCTTTCACATCTATAGCATGTCGCCCATCACACTTTCCCCTCTCAAGCACGTCGCCTATCACATCTTCCCCTCTATAGAATGTCGCCCATCACACCTTCCCCTCAAAAGCATGTCGCCAATAACACTTACGGCTCCATAACATGTCGCCCATCACATCTTCCCCTCTATAGCATGTCGCCCATCACATCTTCCCCTCTATAGAATGTCGCCCATCACACCTTCACCTCTTAAGCATCTCGCCTATCACACCTTCCCGTCTACAGCATGTCGCCCCTCACATCTTCCCCTGTATAGCATGTCGCCCATCACACCTTCCAAACTATAGCATGTCGCCCGTCACACCTTCCAAACTATAGCATGTCGTCCATCACACCTTCCAAACTATAGCATGTCGCCCGTCACACCTTCCAAACTATAGCATGTCGTCTATCACACCTTCCAAACTATAGCATGTCGCCCGTCACACCTTCCAAACTATAGCATGTCGCCCATCACATCTTCCCCTCTATAGCATGTCGCCCGTCACACCTTCCAAACTAAAGCATGTCGCCCATCTCATCTTCCAAACGATAGCATGTCGCCCATCACACCTTCCCCTCTATAGCACGTCGCCCGTCACACCTTCCAAACTAAAGCATGTCGCCCATCACATCTTCCCCTGTATAGCACGTCGCCCGTCACACCTTCCAAACTAAAGCATGTCGCCCATCTCATCTTCCAAACGATAGCATGTCGCCCATTACACCTTCCCCTCTATAGCACGTCGCCCGTCACACCTTCCAAAATATAGCATGTCGCCCATCACACCTTCCAAAATATAGCATGTCGCCCATCACACCTTCCCCTCTATAGCATGTCGCCCCCCACATCTTCCCCTCTATAGCATGTCGCCCATCACACCTTCCAAAATAAAGCATGTCGCCCGTCACACTTTCAAAACTAAAGCATGTCGCCCATCTCATCTTCCAAACGATAGCATGTTGCCCATCACACTTTCCAAACTATCGCATGCCTCTCCTCACATCTTCCCCTCTATAGCATGTTTGCCCATCACACCTTCCAAACTAAAGCATGTCGTATTTCACACTTTCCAAGTTACAGCATATACTTCCCTCATAAACTGTCACCATTCGCAAAATATTACTATAGACAAAAGCAGAGTATCCACACAGAAAACAGTAGAAAACCCTTAAGACAATAGCAGAGTATTTCTGAAGACAATAGCAGAGTATTTCTGAAGACGATAGCAGAGTATTTCCATAGACGATAGCAGAGTATTTCTGATGACGATAGCAGAGTACTTCTGAAGACGATAGCAGAGTATTTCCGTAGACGATAGCAGAGTATCTCTGAAGACGATAGCAGAGTATTTCTGATGACGATAGCA